ATTTACAAAAATTTAGAAAAAACTCACTTTTGGAGGTTCCTAAGTAAGCCTAGGAAAACAAAAAGAAATAAAGTAATAGCAGATCATGAGCTGGGATATGGTGACCAAGCCCAAATAGCCAACAAAAAAGGCCCATCAATGGCAACCCAATACCTTTGAACCATTTAAACTAAAATGTCCTTAGGCATTCAGCTAAAAAAATCATCTTTGTTTTTTTGTTTTTTTTCTCTTTAGCGATTTTGTTAAAAAATTTATGTCAATTATTTGTAAAAAACGTTTTTGGTCTGTCTAGTATAAAAGAATCTAAATTTTTTTAAAAAATAAAATAAAATTTTAAAAAGCCAAATAAGGCAACAGTTTTTAATATTTTGTTTTCAGTAGACTTTTTTTTTTCAAATTTTAATTTTAATTTTCTAGTTCGTTTAGCCTAGTAAAACCTAAAAACTGATATTTTTTTTTTAAAATTTTTTATTTTATAAAAGTTTACTAAAAACAAAAATAAGTAAACAAAAAAGCCACAAAACTGCTCATTGTAGGGAATCTCCATGATCGACCTAGAAATGCTAGAAAGAAATTAAAAAAGAAAAAAGAAAAAAAAGGATAAACCAAATTTCATTTTATGTTGAAGAATTAACTAACTATAAGCAATTCAAGAATAATGCTTTTTTTTTTTTTTTGCGTGCACAATTGGTAGAAACCAAATTACAAATATCATTAAAATTACGTAAACCTCAACATTTACTCAAGTCCAATACATAACAAAACCATGCAACAAACCAAAATCCAACAATCACAAAATGATCCCAAACTAATATCAGGGGGAGTTGAGATCAACTAGAGCTAATGGGCTAATTTTTGTTGGTTAAAAGAAAGTTTAATTTATTGAAGATCATACTACAACTAGAAATCCTAGGCCTTTCATATGTTCCACGTCCATGGTAGTGTTTTGGATCTTAAAATCTATTTGTTTATGTTCATTGGTCCCCATTATTTTGCACTTATATTGTTTTCGAACTTTTGAAATTGATGGGTTTGCATTTGACCTTTAGTTATTCAGCAATGGTTGAGGGTCATAATTTTTGTGGCTCAAATGACTCGAAATTGCCAAAACACTACAAGAAAACTGGGTATATGAGACGGAACTATTTGCGACGGCACACTTGCCGTCTCAAAAAGTCACTTTTTGTGACGGCACCGTCGCAAATACTCTCATTTTTTGAGACGGCAAATAGTGCCGTCGCAAATGCTTTGCTTTTTTGAGACGGTAAATGGTGCCGTCGCAAATACTCTGTTTTTTTGAGACTGCATTTTCTGCCGTCACAAAAAGTGGCTTTTGTGTTTTTTTTTAGTGAATATTTTTAAAATTTTAAATATTTTTTTTAGATATACCTTACTTAGATGTATCTAAAAAATAAAAAATTTATGAAAAAATATTTTTAAAAATTAATAAATACATAAAAATACAAAAAAAAAAAATGTATTGAATTATGGTATTTTTTTTGTATTTTTGGTATTTAGTGAATTTTTAAAAGATTTTGGTGATTGTGGTTTTGAGATAGCTTCATATATATACAGTCACAAAATGGTTTGAATAAATTCAACGGCATTTTTCTGTCGCAAAAAAAATTAAAAAAAACAATGTCGTTTTATTCTTTTGATATAACATTTCTCTTTTCATTCGTTTTTTCATCTTCCTGTCTCTCTGTCTCTATCTCTCTCTCTTCTCTTTATCTCTTTTCATTCATTTCTCTCTATCTCTATCTCTCTCTCTTTCTATGTCTGCCTGTTTCTCTTTCTCTCATTTTCTCTCTGTGTCTCTCGCCTATCTCTCTTCTCTCTATCTCTCTCATCTGTTTTCTCTCTTTGTCTCTCTCGCTCATCTCTCTTATCTCTATCTCTCTCATTTCTTTTTTTTTCTCTCTCTCTCTTATCTTTCTATCTCTCTCTATTTCTCTTGCTCATTTCTCTTCTCTTTCTGTCTCTCTTTCTTTCTATGTCTCTCTTTCGCTCATCTCTTTTCGCTCTATTTCTCTCTTTTTTGTCTATCTCTCGCTCATCTCTTGTTTCTCTCTCTTTTTCTATCTTTCCATCTCTCTCTTTCTTTCTCTCTCTATCTCTTTTTCTGTCTATCTCTTTGCTCAAATAAGATTAATAACATACTATTTAAAATTTATTATCCTATAATTTTGATAATGTGTAAATTTATTGAGATATATTGAATCAATAATGTTATAATAATCATATTATGTGTCATATTTTGGGAGTTGGGGTTTTGTTATGCCTTTGAGGCACATTAGGGGGTGCTATCCACTTCATTGAGGTTCACACCACACACATTTTTATGATCTCATGAATTGTTCATATCGTTTCGTTGAATAGAGAATTCAAGTGGATTGTATATCAATAATCACAAGATCGAATTTTATTTTTCTTTAATAAAAATTAAAGGCAAATGTGATTTTAAATTATAAGTCATCTATTTGTCTACCAATATTCAATCAAGTTGATTTTTTACCTAAATGATTTGTAACACAGCTCCCTATCGATTTATCGATCCACTACAAGAAAATGCACTTTTAGCGACCACTTTGTCTCTTTCTCGCTTATCACTCTGTCTCTCTATCTCTTTTCTCTATTCGTCTCTCACTCATCTTTCTCTCTCACTACCCATCTTCTCTACCACATTTACCCCTACTGCAAATGCCATTCAACTACCACCACTCTTCTCTTTCTCTCTTTCACTCATCACTCTTATTTCTCTGTCTGTTTGTCTATCTATCTGTTTGTCTGTTTGTTTGTGTGTCTTTCGTTCATCTTTCTTCTCTCTATCTCTCTCATTTGTCTTCTCTCTATGTCTCCCTCGCTCATCTCTCTTATCTCTATCTCTCTCATCTCTTTTCTCTCTCCGTCTCTCTTGCTTATCTCTCTATCTCTCTATTTTTCTATTCTCTCTATCGTTTATCTTTTTTCGCTCTCTTTCTATGTGTCTCTCTCATCTCTTGTTTATCTCTATTTTTCTATATGTCTCTCTCTATCTATTTCTCTCTCTGTCTCTCCTTATATCTTTTTCTCTCTCTCGCTCATCACTCTGTCTTTCTCTCTCCTCTATCTGTCTCTCACTCATTTCTCTCTCTCACCACCTTCACCACTACTGCAAACACCATTCCACCACCACCATTACTTCTACTGTAGCCACTTCACCTCTACCACTACCATTACTACTACTATCGCCACCACTCCACTACCACCACTACCACTACTACTACCATTACCTCTCTTTCACCCCTGCCACTCCATTTACACTACCACTACCACAACTTCACCACTAATCTCTTTCGCCTTCGCCATCACCATCACCATCAGCACCACCACCATCATCTCTTATCCACCACCTTCATTACTGCTGCCTCTCATTTTCCTCTACCACAAAAAATTAGTTCATAATTTTTAGTAATAAAAAAAAATAGGCCGCAGAAAAATATTTTTCATTGATTACAGAAAATTAACTTTTATTTTAGTGAAAATATTTTTCATTAAAATATATATGAAACAAATCAACCTTAATAACGGAAAGAAAATAAAAATTATTATTTATTTATTTTTATTATTAAAATATTTATTTATGATGAATTTTTTTTTTCCCCATTTTTTCCATTCCCGCGCCCCAAAATCCCCAATCTCTTTAGAACCAAAAAAAATCCTAAATCTAATCGTCTCCCTCACATCACTCTCTCAGTCGCCTCTCTCTCTCTCTCTCTCTCTCACCCTCTCGGTTAGCTCTGCACCGATCTTGTTCATCTCTACACCGATCACTCTCTCACTCTCTCGTTGTTCATCTCATCGATTCGCATCGATCATCGCACCGCCGATCTACTCACAGGTAAACTCTCTCTCTCAATCTCTGTCTCTCTCTCTCTCTCTCGGCCCGATGGTTGTTTTATATATATATATATATATATCAGATATATCTCTGATCTAATCTGTCTCCCTCACTCTTTCATCTCATTAGATCAGTCTTATCTCTGTCCCTCCCTCTTTAGCCCCGATAGACTCACACTGTCTCACAGGTAAGCCTCTCTCTCTCTCTCTCCCTGATCTCTCATCTCTGCACTGCACCGATTGAATCTGTGTGTGTAATGTCTCCCTCATTTAGTGATGTCTGTAATGTCTGTATGTTAATTTGAATCTGAAATGTTGATCTTAGTTGATCACACTGTGTAATCTGAAATCTGATCTTAGTTGTGTCTCACACTGTGTAATGTTGATCTTAGTTGTGAAATCTGAAATCTGTATGTTAATTTGGGAATGAATTTGGGAATCCCTGATTTTACATATTTTACATATTTGGGAATCCCTGATTTTACATATTTCTACTGTGTAATCTGAAATCTGATCATATTTCTACAATGTACGAGTTTGTGGAGACAATGAATTTGGATTAATTGGCAGCCTGATACCAGTATCGACTCAACTGCTTGCTTTGAATTAATTGGCAGCCTAACTTGGTGTTTTGAGCCTCTTGACTAAAAAAATTTGTTTCAAACAAAAAAATTTAGTTTGTATCCAGAATCCCTAGATTATAGGAGTCTCAATCTCAGTCTCGCTAAGGACCTTAAACAAGAATTGAGTAGGTTCTCATTTTTAGTGTCTATGATATGTGGCTTTATTTTGTTTTAGCTAATTTATATACAAGGGGAAGAGGGAAAACTTGGCATGGTAGAACCAAGAGCAATGAGGAATAGTCCAAGCATAATGCTGATGATGAACGATGAAAATTATCTCTTGGACATTCTAATGATGAATTTCTAAACACAATGCTTGAAATATGACTTATATTTGTGTCGTTGGGTAACACTTACGTTTTCAATTGTTCTCCTGCTGCTCTCCTATGGCAGGCAGGCAGGCTATAATCCTATAATTCATACTTTTGCCTTCATGAAGGAGAATGTGGAGGCAAATAATCACCCCTGAGATATAGTTAACTAATTCAACTGCTTTGCCTATGCAGGAACACTTTTGATGTGTTTTGGGAAGCAATATCTAACCATCAAGTTCTCTCACTGTACCAGGGCCTTGGGACAAAGAACCTGCAGTCTGTTATTTTTTCGTTTATCTACTTCTATGGATATAGCTTCTTTAAGAAGCTATACTTAAAGAGAAGTGGATCAAAATCTATTGGAACGAAAGCTAATTTGGTTCTTGCTGCGGCTGCTGGGGCTTGTATGATTGTGGTGACGCAGGTGAGGTCATATTTTGGCTTGTTATATTACTGATCAGTAATAAATTTTCTTCCTATTAATTACAATGAAACACCCATATTGGGTGTTTCATATCACATTGATTTTGGCTGATCACTTAATCTATAACTTAAGTTCATGATATCCTTGTTTGATTAAAGTATAATAGCCACTTTGTCTAGGCTAATTGTTCATGAGGGGAGTCATGATGAATATTTAATAGAATAGGGAATCATAACAAAAATAATGATGATGAAAATTGATTGGATATTGTTTAATGACTTCTAATTATAATTTAAAGTTAATCTTAAATTTGAATATATAATTGTAATGATGAAGTCTCTTTGAATGCTTAGAATAATAAAGTAAAGGATTTTTTTTTTAAACATTCTAATTTCTGATATTGTTGTTCAGCCTTTGAATACAGCATCATCAAGGTTGCAAACAAGTGAATTTGGGAAATCTAAAGGACTCTGGAAATCCCTTTCAAAAAACACTTGGAGTGGGGCATTTGATGGTCTAGGCATTTCTCTTCTTCTGACAGCAAATCCATCTATCCAGGTACTTGATTGTGCTTCCTAGCATGAAACATCTAAGTTGGTAGATTTGGGAGATTTTTCCAATTAAAAATAAAATAAAATTTCGGAGTAATGATTGGCTTATATAGCACTAGGAAATTTTAAAAAGTTCTAAAATATGACAATAGCAGACCATGTGCAATGGTTAAAAAAAAAATGGTTCCGGCACTGTTGTTAATAGTAAAAGGGTGAAGGTAGAAGAGAGTAGAAACGAAAACAAAACAAAACAAATAAATAAATAGAAAGAAGAAGAAAAGATGAAAAATAAAAAGGGTACAAATATAATTTTAGTAGTTTATTTTGGTGCACATGCTCAATTTGGTGCGGTGCACTTGCTGTCAAATATAACATGATTGGTTACTTTTACGTTTTACTCTGAATTATACGAAAATTATGTATATATATGTATTTTTAGTAAGAAGGTAATGTATTTTTCAAATAAGGGAGTAAAGCATAATTATTATAACTACGAATATTTTAAAACAAAGAAAGAGAAAATTTTGAAGCAGAAGATCCAAATTGGGTCCATAATTATGAATTCACTGATGGGGCAATATTTTGAACACACTATTCTTGAATCTTGACTTTTCTTTTTGAGCTGGAATTCATAGCTCAACTGGTCATCAATTATGAGTGGTAAGAGGGCCACACACACCACAAGGTTTGCTGGCTGGCTGGCCAAGGGACCCACAAATATGCAGAGCAACATTATGGTGCATGGATTTTCATAAATTTTTCAGTTGCCTGTTCATTTCAATCAAATTTCTTCATAGCATTGAATGAACATTATCTAGTTATTTTATTGTTCCTAATTTCCTGGGGAAGAAATTCTTTATGATGGACCCTCTGCATGTGAGTTCTTACAAAATAAATTTGTGTATTCTACAATCCAAGACACGTAGGAACCCTTTAAGTCCAACCCTTCCCACTCCCATCAGACATGAAAAAATTCCCCAGGTATATTACAATAAGAGTTTATTACACTATTTTGGACTACATTGAATTCCATTATTATTATTATTATTATTATTATTATTATTATTATTATTATTATTATTATTATTATTATTTTTTTTTAGGATTTGGGTGAATTTTATAATTTAAATATGCTTTTATGAACATGTACAGTTTAATTGTTCTTTGTAAAATATTGAATTTGATGGTTTGATCAATTTAAATTTTTATTTTTATTTTCTGTTATGATGTTTTTGTGAATAGAATGTAAATAATCAGCTTTTAGAGAGAGAGACGGCACCACCGTCGGAAAAAATAGAAAATTTTAATATTTTTATTAATTTTGTTACAGGTTTTACTTTTTGCGACGACATTATATTGTCGCAAAAAATAGAAATTTTATTATTTAAAATAGAAATTTTATTATTTTTTAATATTTTTTGCGATGGCATTAACTGTCGCAAAAAATAGAAAATTTCATATTTTTTATATTTTCTGCGACGGCACCATACCGTCGCAAAAAGTAGTGTTTTTTTTTAAAAAAAGACTATTAGCGACGGTATTTTTTGCCGTCTCAAATAACATTTTTAGCGACGGTAAAATAGGGCCGTCGCAAAAAAGTCAAGAAATTTCAAACGTTATTAGCGACTGCACGGTGCCGTCGCAAAAAGGTAAAAAATGCCGTCGCAAAACATTAGTGACGGCACTTACCGTCGCAAAAACTCTTTTGCAACCCCTGCAGTTGCGACCCCCCTCTTGTCGTCGCAAAAAGTCATTTTGCCGTCGCAAAAAGTATTAGCGACGGCATTAAGAGTATTAGCGACGGTATTTTACCGTTGCAAAAAGTCAATTTTTTTGTAGTGAAACGACGTCGTTTTGAATACAAAACAATTTCGAAATTGTCAAAACGACGTCGTTTTGACAATTTCGAACCATTTGAGCCACAAAAATTGTGACCCTCAAACATTTTTCTTAGTTATTATAACTGGGACATCTTTCTAGATGTTTAGAGCCTTGATTGATGTGTTAATATGATAGTTGGGTAAGATTGGACAAAACATCTCAAAATTTGAAAATTTGTTTTTTAGTAGTGTTTACTTGTTTGCTTTTTGCTCCCTTCACACTTTGAATCTAATGTGAGATTACAACTATTGGAAAGCTTATTTCTAGGATTTCAATTTAGACATAAAATTAACCAAATTTGGACTCCAGAAGAAGGAGATATGCTTGTTTGATGTTTACCTTGTAAAAACTGTCTAGGTCTATTTGCACATGCGGAATATTTGTTCCGCATGAGTGAATTATGCAATAGAGAAATATTTGTTGAACAGATCTGCACGTGTGGGGCCAGAGACTTCGCAGGTATGGAAATGCACGTCCAACATATAATTTTGAGCATTTTTTCTCTCAAATTTGAGACTTTCTCTCTCTCTCTCTCTCTCTCTTCACTTTTACTTTTAGAGCACGTTTGGTACGATGGAATGAGCTGAAATAGAATGCCCATTCTACCTTTGCATTCTCTTTTCTTTGTTTGGTATGCATTATCTAAGTGGGAATAGTCATTCCAATGTGAGAATGCCTATTTCTTCTTCCAACCTGAGGAATAGCCATTCCATTACATCATGGAATCACCATAAAATTTTATTATTATTAATTTTTTTTGTTGACATTAAAAAAAAAAAAAAAAAACCATTTAAAAAAAAAAAATACCATTTAGCTACCACCACCATTCTCTTCACCTACCATCCATTCCATCATCCTACCATTATCACCACTACCGCCACCCTATTGCCACCATAACCACCACCATGGTCACTGCTACAACTACCATGCCACTATATTACCACCACCATACTATTGATGTCGCCACTACTATCACTATCACTACCACTAACCATTACATCCACAATCATAAAAACACTATTATCACCATTGTTAGGACAACTACCCTACTACCACCACTCCCAATACTATCACTGCCTCTGTCGTCACAACAAATACCTTACCACTAGTACTACCACATTCATAAACACCATACCACTACCATCATCATCGCGAGAACCACCTCTCTACTACCATTGGCCACTATCGCCACCACTGAAACCGCCACCATCGCAACCACAATACCACCTTATGACCACCACTAATGCCACAACAACCTACCACCACCGATGTCGGTGCTGCCACCGCCACCACTACCATGACTCACATTATCACTTCCATAACTATCAACAATATCATGATCTATATAGATTTTTAATTTATTTGTTACTAGTTTGTTAAAAATAATAATTAAAAAAAATTATTCCATTCTATGAGTTTAATAGGCATAATTAAACATGAGAATGAGAATTATGATTAATTTTTATGTCATTCCATGTTGGCAACCAAAAAATGGAATGAGAATGTACATTCCATTTCATTCAACCATGTATTCCATTCTCACTCTCATTTCATTCCTACTTCATTTCATTTTTCTTCGTTCTCTTTACATTCTGTCTCTAAAATCCATATTCAACCTTTGATTTCACCTGCTTGGAGGAAGATTTTCACCCTAGTTCTTTGATTTCAAATAATTTTGAGCATTTTCCCCTCAAATTTGAGTCTCTCTCTCTCTTCACTTCTACTTTCATTCCCTCTCTCTATCTCTCTTTATATTTCATTTTTTCCATTCTCTCTACATTCTCTCTCTAAAATTCACATTCAACCTTTGATTTCACCTGCCTAGATGAAGATTTTCACCCTAGTTCTTTGGACTATTGTTGAGTAAGTCAAGAGCTTTACATCTATCCAAAAAAATTCTACTTTGGGCAACCTTGATCACCTAGGGATTGTTCTTCTTAATCTTTGAAGTAGGGGGTTTCTTGCTTTTAGGTAATATCGGTTCTAATGTGAAAATGTGATAATTTTTTTGTATAAATGTTAAAAGTTTTGCTCATTGCATGAGGGTTGGAATTTTCGGGTTGAAATTTAAACTTCTCTTCATTATTATTCTTTTAAAAAGTATTCTCGGGGTTATGAATATCCTACTATATGTAATAAGCGAGAAAAATCCCAAATTTTTAGAGAAAATCCTAATTTTCTTAAAATTGTATAAATTGGAGAAATTGGAAACAAATGAACATTTTGAGGAATTAAACTTTGATATTGTTAGTTGAGATGAGAATTGTGAACATTTAAATTGGATAGTTGATTGAGAATATGGAATTTATCATCTTTTCATATATATTGAATTGATTGAGGAATTATATTATATATTGTTATTGTTGGCAATCGGTGGAAGATTGCATATTGTGATGTTGAGGTAATTATTAAGCCGTTGTTAATAATTGTTGAGCAATGAATCTGGTTAGTATAGTTTGGTGAATTAAGCTGGCGAGAGTGCCCTCGGTGAAAAATTAGAAACCCGTGCGAGAATAGGTACCAATTTCCTTCTGGTTAATACTTAGCAAAGTGGAGTTGTTATTTGGTGGCTCGTGTATTTTAGGGGTGCTGAAAGATACTAGCTTGGAGATTCATTACTCTTGTTTTTATCTTGAAATACGAAATTGTATAGATAAATTGGATTATGTACCATCTTATGATTATCTTGAAATTATGAAATCTCAAAAGAATTATTTGCATCATGATGATGTTGCATTATTGCATATATTTATTAAGTATAGAGATTTTCTATTGGATTTCAGTTCACCCCTCGTGGATGACAAATTTTCAAGTTTGAATGGTGTGCCGCCGCCACAAGATTGAAGTTGTAGATTTATAGGCTTACATGTCTTTTTGTTGTTTTGTTTAAAGGCTTGGAGCCCTTGATTTAATTGCATGTAATTAGCCAAATCACTTTATTTGATGAGGGGATGCCCTCTTTTAAACTTGTGTAAGCTTTAAGGCAATTATACATATTTTTTCATTTTGGTGAAGTTGTGCACATACCATATATTTATATCCAGTTGAATTGTGAAAATAAGTTGCTTGTGTTTTGTAAAATCTTGCTTTATATGAAATGAACAAATTCGAAGAGCGAGCTATTTA